TGTGTTTTAAATATTCTAAACATATACTCAGATGCAGATAATGCACACACATGTAAATACACTTTTAGATCTGAAAACTTCTCTTTTCACTCTAATGATTTGCATCTCATTCAATGTAAATGATTCATTGCTTATATACATTATTTTTAATAAATTATAGTTCGTGTAATTAATGTCCCATATACAAGACATATTTACTTACTTTATCTCAACCAATAACACAGAGGTGCTAGGGTTGGGGAGTGTGTTCAGGTATTTGTGTGTGTGTGTGTGTGTGTGTGTGTGTGTGTGTTTTGCTTTGTTTGTTTTTCCCTTCCTGCATTTCCACCTACCTCTTTCTTCTATTCATGAAGATATCACAATGCCACAGGTGGGGCCATGGTGAAAAGTGTAACTTTTTAGGGAAAATTAGAATCTTCAGACCAAATAGAAAAAATACAAATTAGTTGATAAGAGAAGAGTAGCATCTTGAAGCAGCAAGTAGAAGAGAAAAGCTGTTCCTCCGCCACAAATAGGGTGGGGGAAAGCGTACAGCAATAGAGGGAATAAAAGAACAAGGATATATATTTTAAATTCCTCACATCAGGAGAGATTCAACTTCAAGCCTGCGCAGGAGAGTGGATACACAGAGCCAGTGGGCTGAGAGAAGTAGTAGCGGCCTCAAAACCATCTCCTTGTCCCCAGAGTAGCAGAGAATCAACCAAAATTGTGGTCCAGGATGGGACCCTGTGGAATGAATCAACAGCAATCTCAGCTGCCACTAGGGTTTGATGATTGAGGAACAGCTTCTCTTTCACCACCCCCACTCCCCTGACAACTTGAAGACCCTGAAACTGTCTGTGGGACAGAACCATGATGAGTACGAGCCCTCGACATGATGGAGGTGACATGTTCTGCCAGCCCTGTGAAACAATCATTTAGTGTCAGAAATGTGTCCAGATCAAAAACACACAGCTAAACAGGAAATACATTGATATCTTTACCCGTTGAGTCTGCAATTCTTATCTGGAGCAAATATATTCTCCCCACATTAGAGAAGAAAAACCTGAAGTTCAGAGAATTTAAATAACTTACTTAAGATCATTAAATTGGTAAAGAGCAAAGCCAGGATATATACTCTGCAGTTCTGTGTGACTTTAAGGATCTGCAATCCATTTGCTGTATTTTCCTGTAATCCAGGGTTAGAGCAATAATCTCAGATCATTAAATGGAAGCCACATGCACGGACAATCCACGGACAGTTGTGCTTTTGACTAAGAGTGAATCTAGTTTAAAAGAGAGGAGTGAGCCCCTTGCAGACCAAAATTAAGTTATCTGATTCAGTTTACAAGTAATAAAGCTGATGTTCTGAAGTCTTCTCAATTCCCTAGCTATTTCTCAACTGGATCAAAGTATTTAGGACAAAGTGATGTGATTAATACAGCAGTGCCCAACCATTCACTAACCAGTACAAACAGGCTCAGTGTTTGGAAACAGAATTAAAGACAGATTTATGGCTATAAAACTCTGTTCTTGCTATCATACCTCAGCCAGGTAGTACAGAAAAATGTATATAACATCATATAACATTGATATATGTGTTAACGACCTGGCAAATTCAATGTCTTCAAGAAGCTTATAAAATAAGGCTATCACGTCTCTTTCAATGCAGTTCCAAAGAACATGACCTTTGTTTTTGCTTTATTGCAAGCTCATTTTGCATTTCCACCCTCTCTGAATTTTTTGGAACATACTTCCAGTTTATATTTTAGCAATTCTTTCCATACAGAATGTCTAGTTTGCATTTTTTGAAGTTGTTTTTATTGTGGTTGATATTTATTTCTTATCTTAGCAACTTTTCTTTTTGTTAATTTGACCTTTGCATTTGTCTTTATTCCGTCTTCAACTTGAGTAGCCCCTATTTTGTTAATTTGATGAGGACAATAAGTTTTTAATCTATGTCTATGGCGTTGTGTTGGTTGTGATTTCAAATCTCATTCCAATTTTTGTCAGAAGCCTCAAATAAGGAAGGATCGTTCTTTTGGGAAGTGGTGATTGCACAGAGAATGGTGCAGTAAATGAACATTATATACTGAAATCTAGACCAGTTCAAATGAAAGTCAGGAAAATATTTTTCTATTGTGACATTTATTATAAAACATCACAGCACACATCTAAAAATAATAATTACCACCATAATATTTAATATTTATTGTGCTAGGAAATTTTCTAAGAGGTTTGTTTGTATAAAGGTATATAATCTCCAGATTAACTCTCAATATCAGCAACTATCATTAGGACCCAATTTACAGATAAGAAAATTGAGACAGAGGTCACATACCTAGGAAATAACAGCACCAGGAGTCCCTGTCGTGTGTGTGTGTGTGTGTGTGTGTGTGTGTGGTTAAAGGGTATGGTTAGTGAAATCCTTTGCCAAGTCTTAACAGAAATGTTATTTAAGAGTCAGATAAAAAGATCAATGTTTATGGATGATTAAAGGTATAGGGTCATTTTTCTCCTCTCCAGACAAATTGCCCCATCCTTCATAGATAAGTATAAGGACACTTCCGACTCTCTCACTCTCCTTGGATGATGGTTCACTCACCTTAGGTGACCAGAATGAATGGGCTGACTCAAAGGCCATCACCTCTGTGACCCAGATTCTCAATCTAACTAGAAATTTATTCATCTCAGTTTAAGGCATGAAATGTAAACGGCTCCTTTTTGACTCCAGTTGACTCCCAGGAACTAAATCTAACATTGGGCAGAACACAGTTCAGATTGGTAGTTAAAATAACTGTGAAATCTACTAGAAAGTTCGGGAACTTTAGAGTCAGATAATCTAGGGAGCAAATCTTAGCTCCACCACTAACTAGTTGAATGACCAGGAAAAAATATCTTTCTCTCTGATGTTCAGTTTCTTCATTGGTCATATAGGAATATTCACCTTTCAAAGTTTTGTAAGTCTTTAAAAAGACGGCATGCAAACACCCAGGTACATAGATGCTTAATAAGTTTTAGTATAATTTTATCCAAAGGGAAAAAAAAAACTTCCCACAAAAAAAGAGAGGATCATTTATTGATACTTTATCCTGAATAACATTGCTTTTCAGCAACAATAAAATATTTTGGAGATTTGTTTTTCCAGAGACGACAAAATAACTTATATATGGTGACCAAAATTTAATTAAATACAATGGTCCATGCTAATTTTTGGTGACTGAAAGCCACGTATAATTCACACATCGTGGTCAATGTTAAAGTATTGAAAACACTGAGTTGCTTCGAAAGTCTTGTTCAGATGAAATGATTTTGTCCCAGGATTTCTCAGCTCTATGGTTGCAAGAAGGTAACAGAGGGGTTGAGTGAGCTTGTTAGTCAGTTCTGGCTGCTATAACAAAATACCATGACTAGATGATTTAAATAACAGCCATTTATTTTCTCACAATTCTGGAGGCTGGAAGTTGGAGATCAAGGTGACAGCATAGTTAGGTTCTGGCGAGAGCTATTTTTCTGGCTTTCAGATAGCCATCTTCTCGCTGTGTGCTCACATGGTTTTTCCTTGATGCATGCTCATGGAGAGAGGGAGAGAGAGAGAGAGAGAAAGAGAGAGAGAGAGAGAGAGAGAGAGAGAGAGAGAGAGAGGTCTCTTTCTGTTCTTCTAAGTGTACTCTATCTACCTGTTTTTCTAATTTTATTTTTAATTCCATTATGAGGGTCTCATTGTCATGACCTAATCTAAACCTAATTACTTCCCCAAAACCCCACCTCTAATACCATCACATTGGGAGTTAGGGCTTCAACATATGAATTTGGGGGGTGGGGGAGAGCACAAACATTCAGTTCCTAACAGAGCTATTTTATACATTTCCAAACAGTGAAATGAAATGCGTATATTTACCCTCTATAGAGCAACTCAAGCTAATACAATCCACAAAATTCTTTGCTAAAATTTTATTAACTCTGTGTAGTAATAAATAGTTGTCTCACACTGATTATGAATTTAGATTGATATGTCTGATTAATAAAATAGAAAAATATTACTTAATAAAATGCATTTTAATAGATAATAAAAAATTTAGATAATAAAAATTTAATAGATAATAAAAAGTATTTCAAAATACAGTGTTTTTGATGCTGGAAGGAAACACAGGGTGATTTCAGGTCTAGTTAATAAAAAGAATGGTACCTTGGGTTTAAGGGAAAGAAATCAGCACATGACTAAGACATGGTGATTGTTTAATATCCTGGCAAGATGATCTTTTTGGCAGTGCTTAACTAGATAACCAGAAATTTTCCAATAAAACATAAGGAATTTCTGAAAGAATTAAAATAAATGATGTATGAAGTTATGGTTCAAGTGACTAGGTAGCCATAGTAGAACAGTCTCATCCTCTGAGACTTACAATCCATTTTTATAGTGTGAATAGCCCTAGGGCATTTTGCTTTATTGCAGAGATAGGCAATAGAAAGGGAAAGGAGAATGCATATAGGGCATGAAACAGCAACGGGACGAGGACAGAGAGCAGCTGTGCACAGTGGCCCACTGACTGTCATTAATTAGTAAATATTTCACTGAATGAGTGAGCAAAGGCGTGTCAGATGAGGCAATGATGATTTCAGCATACTGAGGTGTTGTAGCATAGCCTAATGAAAGAAGGGTACCCTTGCAGAAGAGAAGAGTTGAAAAAGAAAAGAAAGTCAAGAGAAAGGACAACTGTCCCTAGAGGGCTTTTATACGAGAAAATCAAAGCGCTAGTGAAAGGATATCTTCTTGTCAAGTACATGCATGAGACTTTACATTCCCAGCTATACATGCAAATAAAATAATAACGTCTCATGAAAACATTGATAGAGTGTTGATCTAATTTGTCTCACTGCATTTGCAGAAGAAGACTGAATATAACCACCCCAGAATAATGAGACTCTGAGTGACTTCCAAAGATGTTTTGGAAAAAAAGAATTTCTGCCACCAAGCCCCACATTCAATAACAGCTTTATTTATTTAGGCCTTACGGTTTACTAAGTACTTTTCGTACATTTTCTCATTTGGATTTTCACAACTGGTAGGTGAGACAGGAAGCACACCCAGTTTATTCCTGTTACAGATAAGTAAGGGGAGGCTCATCCAAAGATGTATCCAAGATCAAGTTGCTGATTAAGGGGTAAAGTTGGGTCATTAATACCGGTCTTCCAATTCCCAGTTCTTTCAGCTGAATCATGTTGACTCTAGATAAATACTGTCAGAATGTACTTTTTGTTCCTAAACTAGATCTCTTATACAGTACTGAAGATTCCATTTTTCCTGATCTGTAAAAAATGAAGATAGAGGATATTATTCTCAGACATCTGAGATAGTTGTTAAATCAACTCATGTTTTTTAAAAAAGATTAAAATTATCCAGTATAATTCTGTTAACCTTTTCTACTTAGGCCATATTTTCTAACTCTTTAAGCATCTTAGGTGGGTCTCATTTTACTGTCTAATTATTAGAATTTGTGGTAAGCAATGAGATAAAGTTACTGTACTGTTTCCTGTAAACACTGCCTTTCTCAATAAGATAATTATGTGTAGAAAAAATGAACAGTTAAGAACACAACAGCACCTATCTTCTACAAATAAATAAATAAAAGAACTGTTGACAGTAAAGAGATTATTAAAATTGTTCTTTCACAAAACAGTGCAGCAAATTAGAGGTGAACAGTAAAAAAAATATATGTTTAAATATAAATCAGCACCAACTATCTTAAAGAAATGTTACTGCTCTATAATGCTATCGTTTTAAATGATAGTTCTTGTTTTCAAATATTAACATAGAAACTTTATACCCTGGGATTACATCCTTAAACATCTCATAATATTTTGTGGTCATATGAAATAATGCATATAAAAGCATTTTAGTTGTAACACTATGGAGATACAAGTTAAGATCGATAATTATAGAGTGAATGCTTTAGTTTTACACATAAACCTTGCACATATAATACTTGTTTTCTTGCCCTATAAAGCAGGTATTATTATATTATCCATAATTTATAGCCAAATAAACTTCAGTGCTAAAGAAGTTAGGACTCTCCTTCTAATATCACACAGCTCTTTTGCTGAACTCAGGGAACAGCTTCAATCTTCTCATTTCAGATTTGGGACTTGTTCATTTTTTTCACTTTACCTTTTCATCTGTTCTACATGAATCATACATCAATTTCTACCATCCATTCAAACTAAAAAAATGTAGATGACATTCAACTTTTAAAGTTTTAGTCCCTTTCGTCTCCTCTGTACTGACAGAATGTCCTTAATAATAAGAAATCACCTTCTTTTTTTTTACACATTCAGAATATTAACATTTATAAGCTCACTACATGTTCCTATATGTGAGCTAACATTGTCATTCACAGTACGAGTTGAACTTTATTCATTTTAGAGGGAATATAGTTCACTGTTTGTATTCAGTGCTGTAGCCACCTTTGCCCAAAACACTGAATTTTTTTTCTGACAACACATGGGGACAGAGTGCTTCCTCACCCATCTGAAACTTAGGGGATTTGAGCTTGCAATTCACCCCCCAATTTGAGGAGCTGCAGGAATTTATAATGACCACTAGTTAAGTCCCCAAGGGCTTCTTTGTCAGTTTTGTAAATCCATACTCATAGAAGATTGTTTTAAGAAGGTGTCTTAGTTTTGGCTGCTATAACAAAGTACCATAGATTGGGTGGCTTATAAACAACAGTATTTCTTTTTCATGGTTCAGGAGGCTGGTTGCAGACAGCCAATTTATATCCTCGTATGGGCTAGTAGAATGAGGAAGCAAGCTCTCTCATGACTCTTATAAGGGCACTAGTCCCATTCACAGGACCTCCTCTAACTGATCACTTCCCAAAGGCCTCACCTCCTAATACCATCACACTAAGGGATAGGGTTTCAACATATAATTTTTTTTTAGGGGTGGGTGGGAACTTCTAGTCTATAACAGAAGAAGTGGTAAAAGTAGGTTGTATTTTGAGATTGGTCAAGCATAGATTTGAGTCCTAGCTCTATTCTCCCACTTACTGTGGGTAAATGGCTTAACCACTTCAAAACTCCTAGATATAATATGGAACTCATAGCTATTTAACAGAGCTCATGCAAAAATTAAAAATATATGTATAATATGAAAGCTAATTCATACTATGCCTGGCACATGGTCTGCATTTAGTAAATGGTGGCTCTTACTACTTGTAAGAATTTTATGCTACGTTTCAGATGGTAGAACATTTACTTCTTTTGGGAACAGATCACACAGAAGGTACACACATTAAAACTGAATGTGATAATGCTGAAGTTTAGAAATGGTGGCAACCAAGATGAACAACCAAGCAAGGGAACACACACACACACACACACACACACACACACACACACTGAGGTTTCTGGAACATGTAAAGAGTTTGGGTAAACTCACAGAGACAAAAGCCATAACAGATGTGTGAGCCCCTGTTTCCCACTGTGTTTGAACAGCATACAAAGACCTAGCAGGACCAAACTTCAGGCTCTGGAAGAGAAAACTCAGTCTCCATATCAGGGGGCCTTTAAGTTGCATGACTGAAAGAATTCAAGCCCCTCATGTGGTGTGGTCCAGGGCTAGGTTCCAAACCTCATGGTCCCAGCAATATGATGTGACAGACCCTTGGCTCCGTCCTTATGTCATCACTTCAGCATTCATCACTTGGCAAAATCAGGAGACTGGAGTCAAAACTAGGGGTTGCAGCTGTACAGTATGGCAGAACCTCAGTCCGCCACCCAGACTCACTACCTTGGTATTCTTGGTTTGGGGAGTACCAGTCCAACTAAACTGCCATGTCCAATTTCTACTTTCTGCCATAAGTTGGTTTGATTGTCTTAAACGCTCAGCTGTAGCTGGTTTCTATGGAGTTTTTCAGAGGCCAGCCTTTAAAGAATCGATCTTGGATAAGTTAGCCCTTACTTTTCAGTAGAGTAATAAAGAATGCCTTTTTTTTTTTCCATTTGATTTCTGAACTTTTTGAGACACACAAGAGCCAAACAGTTGAAGCTAAAAATAGCAGCCTTATTGCTGATAAAGTCTACACTGGAAATATGAGTTAGGTGTGCAGGAACAGTGGGCTTCCTAATTCCACACTCCAGAGTCAAGCAGACCAGCTGTCAGGTCACTGGTACCTGTCATAAACCACAGGCCTTTCCTGGCAACAATGAAATGTTTTCTAATGAAATAACCAAGTGACCAATTTCTCTGCAGAGGCAGACTCCAAAGGGGACACAGTAAGTGACAAGTCCCCCTTAATCCCATCATCATAAGCAAAATATGGTAGATACATACAATCCAGGGGTAGGGGGGAGTCAGGTTAGTGATTGAGGCTAAAACTGTTAAAATAAATGGCCTATGAAGAAGTAAATGCTGTGAGATTAAGTGTCTTCTCTTAACCAATTCTGAAGAACCCAGAGAATGGTAATCAGTCCTGTTTCACATGAGAAAGGAGACATGTCAGAAGTTTTCCATTAAGCGGAAATCCTCATTTCACCCCCATGTTTAGTATTATTATAATTTAAGATAACAGCTGTCTCAGTGACAAAGCCATTTCCCGTGCAATGTCTCATTCAACCTTAAAACAAACATGTGAGATAATAATCATAGTGTCTAGTACTCATTTAGCAGGTGAGCTAAATGTCTTGCCTGGGATCAAACGGCTAGTAAACAGAAGACCTGGCACTTAGATTTAAATAGCATTTCATTGAAGCTACCGGGCCTGATCAGCTTTTCACAACCCGCAAGACAAATATCGGGAGGCTTTATAATAAATCATTGCATTTCAGTGCAGTTATTTAAGAGCTTGCAGTGAAACAAATAATTTCAAAACCATGTGTTTGAACTGGGCTATCTTTTGGTTGCTTAACTTTCATCCAAGACGTGTCTGAGGGTCTGAAATTTCAATATGGAAAACAAAATTACGTCACAATGTAAGTGCCCAAAGAGAAAGTAGAATGTTTTCATTTCCCCATTATTCCTTAGTTCGACAATATTCAATAGGTTCCTTTTTTTTCAAACACTTAACCACACACACACAAACACACACACACACACACACACACACACACACAAAGAAAAGAATAAAATGAAAGGGGAAAAAAAACCCCACTCAATGTACTTATACCTCTAATTGTAACCGCTTTCTCTAAATTGAGAATGAGTTTTCCTTTACATGTGCTTATTCTTTTAAAAACTAAGATTTTTGGGTTCTGAGCCTGGACTTGGAATCCTGACCTACATTAGATATCTTGGCTTGTGTGACTTTGGGGAAGTAAACACAATAGACTGAATATTCGTGTACTATCCCCAAATTCATATGTTGAAATCCTAACCCCCCAAAGTGATGGTATTAGGAGGTGGGCCTTTGGGAAATGATTAGGTCCTGAGGGTGAAACCCCCTTGAATAGGATTAGTGCCCTTAGAAAAGGGGCCTGAGAAAGCTCCCTTGCTCTTTCTGCTATAAGAACAGATCAAGTAGATGGTGTCCATCTAAGAACCAGGAAGCAGGCCCTCATCAAACACTGAATCTGCTGATGTCTTGTACTTGAATTTCCCCAGCCTGCAGAACTCTGAAAAATAAATGTCTGTTGCTGATGAGCCAGCCAGCCAACCTATGGCATTTGGTTATAGCAGCCTGAATGGACTAAGACAGTGGCTTAACCTCTCTGTGCTTCAATTTCATCACCTGTAAAATGAAGATAATAGTAATAATAGTCCCTGCTTCAAAATGTTGTTGTGGTGACTACAGTAATAAGATATGTGAAGTGTGTAGAACAATGCCTGATGTAGCAAACGTTACATAATGATTAGCGATTAATATGATTAACATACAGCATTTTCATAATGTCTCCCATCCTTTCTTTACAAAGAACACCCTCACCTCATTCTCCTTAACTTCTTATCCACCACCCTACTCATATTTTGCACATTTGCAGCATAAATCTTTTTCTATTTACAGAATAATCCTTTACCTTCTCTGCTGTCAACAATGTTCCCTATAGTAAATAGATAAAGCTCAATCTCTGTGTCTTCTTTAATTGTCACTCAAATGTAACTCCTTCTCTTCTGTCTGACCTTGATGAATCTGCATGGTGTTTGCTGAGTCTCTGATCATTTGGAATCTTTGCATTTTCTGACTTTTTCCAGCAGTTTAACTGAAATAATAACAATTAAAAAAAAAGCCTCAACTGTATACTTGCAGCCTTCTTATAGATTATAAGAGGGGATATCTCATAGCATTGTACTACAAGGCAGCATGTATAATACA